GGGTTCGGTTAATCGGGTTTATTCTTTACTCGATGCATTTTGGCTTTTGGCTTATTGATTATTGTGATGGTGACGCGTGGGGGGTTTGGACGGCTGGATTGGGAATTAAAGAGAAGTTTTTGGAGTTATTGGTTTTCTTTCTTTTCTGGTGAGTCAGAGTCACGGTGACGGAGACTGACCAGCAGATGACGGAGCGGAGAAGGAAGCTTCCCGCTGTTGGCTTGGCGGGTGCACGGCTATGTCAAAAATGCGCCCAAGTGCCAGTGAGTGGGACCTGACCTATTTGATGATATCGAATTTACAGTATATTTGTTCCCAGGATCCTTCTTATTATAAGTTATAACCTCTCATTCAATCAAGTTTCCCAAGAACTTGCACAATAATAAATGGATCAGGGAATTTCCAATTCAACTTTTAAAATGTTACTATAACTTCGATGTGAACTGAATTTTATTAACTTATACTATAACTAATTTAGAATTACATTAAAATTATAAGAACTTACATTAAAAATCATTACAACAACTGAGCTGTGCTGAATTAGACAGAATAAATCAACAAGTGAAGCATTATTGTTGACTAATTAATAGTCCCTTCATGCAAAACTGGGAAAAAGATAGAAAAACGAGAAATGTTCATCTGACTTCTCAAGCCAACGAATCAAGGAAGATGGACAGACAGACAGACGTGGTATAATTGCCTTAGCAGTTCTCCATAACACAATTAGGTGGTGCTTTTGACGCCATTAGATTTGGCTGGTTCTAGTTGGTTTTCACTCTACCCTGCTCCCGTGGGAGGATGACAAGTGTTTCTTACAGTTTAACTTTAGTTAATTCGCTCTAGAGGCGACTCAGGATTAAAGACTAGCTCTTGCTTCTTCTAAGAAGCTTCAGCAAAGTGATGAAGCTAGCAGTAGTGTTACTTGCTCTTCCGTTGTATAAGCCATGCGTTTGGTCCCAAGACTCAAAGTCATGCTATCGGCACAAGCATAAAGTTGACTGTTCTTGATGACTCATTCTCCGAATGCAATTTTTCTCGTCCGTGCTCTATTTCTCCGAACCCACCTATCATTTTCTCCTCAATTAGGTTATGTACTATTACACATTTTCTAGGAGGTTTCTCAAATGAAGAAATATCATAAAGGTAAATGCTTTTGTTTGCTTTCCTTTTCTGAGTGCTCCAAATCCCATAATTATGACTTCGACCCGCCAAATGATGCATTTGGTCTGTAATTTCCTGTTCCTGCTTTTCCATACTTGGTCAACTCTCCGTCTCTAGATATCAACCTTGCTCCAAGGTCTCCTCTAGCCAGAAGTTTTGTTTTCATTGTGAGTTCTCGAATCAATCTTGGTTCGTGTTTTTGAAGGTTTTTGTGGGCTTTAGATTGCTGTTGCAGGAGATTTTAAAGTTTCTTTTTGAAGGCTTTGTAGTGCGACTGATGGGAAGTGCAAGTTCGAGTAGGAGAAACATTTCGTCCTTCAGCTCATCTTCTTCTAGCTATGCTGGTTACCAGAGATCACCATACCCTCAACAGCCTCCGTATTACACCCCTCAGCCTCACCATGCACCTGCTTCCTTCAACTATGGTGCCCGGACTCCTCAGCCATATCAGAAGTCAGATAGCAGATATTCGAGGATAGCCGATAACTATGAAACCTTAGACCAGGTAAGGCCATTTGAAGATTTGTGTTCTGTTTTGCTCTCCAAATTATGTCCAAACGTCATCAACTGCTGTTAGTGAATCTCTACCTTAGGTAACAGCTGCACTGTCCGAGGCAGGATTAGAGTCATCTAACCTTATAGTTGGTATTGATGTCACAAAGAGCAATGAGTGGACAGGTATTGATATTCCCTTCTGCGCTTTGCTATTTAATGGCTTCATCCAGTAAGCTAATGGTTTCAGCTAAAACTAGGTGCAAGGTCATTCAAGCACAAAAGCTTACATCATATGGGAAATGTTCAGAATCCCTATGAGCAGGCAATTTCCATCATTGGGAAAACCTTATCTGCCTTTGATGAGGACAACTTGATTCCGTGTTTCGGATTTGGAGATGGTACGCAATATGAGTTTATCTACATACAAGATGTTCAGGTTTTGATCTGTATATACCTTGCGTAAAGGTGTTTATTTCTGCATGCAGCCTCAACACATGATCAAGATGTATTTAGTTTCTATCCAGATGCTAGATCTTGTAATGGATTTGAAGAAGTGCTTAGAAGATACAGGGAATTAGTTCCCCGTCTAAGACTTTCAGGTGCGTTTTCGCTTTGGGTCAACTGTTAGGTGTACCTCAGACTTCCATCTATTTTACACTCGAAGTTTCTTCCTTCATTGTTGCAGGACCAACATCTTTTGCACCTATCATTGAAATGGCTATGAGAATCGTAGAGGACAGTGTTGGCCAATATCATGTTTTGCTAATAATTGCTGATGGACAAGTAATGTTTTACTCTACCGTTTCTTAACTGTGAAATTCATTTGCTTCACACTTCCACTTTTGCTTAATCCCCTTATTTCTCAGTTATCGTAGTTGGATGGGAATGGGGCATCTCAGCTTCTATCTTCATGGTTACTTCCCGTCATCTTCATGGTTGTTGGGGAGGGGGGGGGGGAATAATGTTCTCTGAATTTCACCTATGGCTTTGCGACAATTTTTTGTGCCTCAGGCTTTTTCTGAATGGAAATGTTAACCAATAATGACATCTTTCGTTACTTACACCTACTCTCTAGGTGACAAGAAGTACTGAGACTCCCCGTGGCCAACTTAGTCAACAGGAGCAGAAGACAGTTGATGCCATTGTCAGAGCAAGGTAGAGTGGCATACTGAGCTCGAGAAAAGCTATAGCGTAGTTTACCAACATTCATCTTCTAATGCATCTGCAATTGCAGTGACTATCCATTATCAATAGTTCTAGTTGGGGTTGGAGATGGTCCTTGGGACATGATGAGGGAGTTTGATGATAACATCCCTGCAAGAGCATTTGATAATTTTCAGGTCAGCAGTAACTTGGCCATTCAGTTACTGAAACTAATGACAGCATTGACTTCTCATGTGACTTGCCTGATCCTAAATGTATCACTAGGAAGCCATAAACTTGTGTGTTCTAAACTTTTCTCTGTCCAGTTTGTCAATTTTACGGAGATTATGTCAAAGGACGTGGATCCATCGAGAAAACAAGCAGAATTTGCTCTTGCTGCCTTGATGGAAATACCTTCTCAGTACAAAGCTACGATTGAACTCGGCATGTTGGGGTACAAATTTGAAAACTTTCGCTTGCAGACTATCATATATTGGTTTTTATATACGGTCTCTGATCCAGTAACATCATCAGATGCGAAACAAAGAAGGCTCCAGGCAGGAGACCTCTTCCTCCTCCTATTTATGGCAGCAGCTTGAAATCATGTCGTCCGAACAGTTTCCAGCGTAGTGCTCAATCTTATCCTTATCCTTTCCCTGAGATTGCTGCTCAGAAGGCTCCATCATCAAGCTCTCTTCTGGATAACAAGGTAAACAAAGATATATTCGTTGCAGGAGTTTTCCAGTGATCCTGAATAACTGCTGTAATGTTTTATTCGTGAACAAAACTGTGTTCAATTCGAGTAACTATCACAGTCGCAGATTAATTTTGTTGTACCGCGCAAGTGTCTTCAAACCATTGCTGTGCAAGAGTCATTAAGACAATCCCCAATCTCCACACTGAATTCTCTGGTTTCTAGTAACTTGTTCTGGGCATGTTGCAAGCAAACTGGACATGTATTACATGAAAGATTATTATCTACATGAATCAGTCTAAACTAATCGGAACCTAGTTTGATACGATAAAATGTATGATTATGAACTAGTTGAAACCTTCTGGAGCCTCAAATGTTGGCGGAATAAATCCTGACAAGCCAGACCATAACCCGCACCTTGTAATTCATTTCCCTGCCAACCGCCCCCTAGTTCAAACTTTCATCTCTTCTAATCCTATTATTCTTGACAGGTCTGCACCAATTGTCTAGGCAGTACTAAGGGCCTGGCATTTGAATGTGGGCATCAGGTATACGAGATATAATGTGACAATTTGTTACTCAATGAATCCTTTCTTTTTTAACTATCTTTAATCTAACAAAAAGAACATCATCGGACAGGCTTGCTATAACTGTGGAATAGATCTTCAGTCATGCCCAATATGCCAGATGCCAATAACAATCAAAATAAAGCTCTATTCTTAGCTGTATGCGGGGATCCGACGTTCTTCATTCCATCGTGCTGTGTTCAGCACATGCTGCTCACAGATTTCATGGTCTTTCTGCATGGACAAATAAACTTTTTCGCTTATTGATCTCTGTTAGTGGAGTTGTTTCTGTAGTATCATTCCTCAGTGTGCTTTGACGGTAATCACAAGATTTTCATTTTCCAGGAACCTGGAAGACGGGGCTTCTCTGATTGATATGATCAGGCCACTTTTTATTGGAGCAAGAGCGCCTGATTGGCAAAGGCCAATAAAGATATCCCAAGTGAAATGCTAATTTAATCAAGATTTCCGTGGAACTTTCTGTTCGTCTCTGGGTTGATTCCTCTCCTTGCTGACGCACCAGACACTAGTTGGTTAAGAATATTATTGATTAATCTTGGTAGAAACGAACGATTGGATGGTGGCGCTGCTCGAAGACCATACCGTGGCTCAGTGCATCATGTAATCCGGCTTGATTCTCTAAGGTCATGCTTTTAGATCATGTAATTTTTTTTTTGGGAGGATGGGATTTAATTTTGTCTGATTATACAGCTGTTCGAAGTGTAGAGGGCGAGGGAGATGAGTCCAACAAATCTTGATAATACTCCTGAGTGGGTATCCAGATGTGGTCTAAGAAATGTTTTTGTGATGCACTTGGAATTCCAATAAATGTCTTCGATGTCTGTCCACAGCTTGTGGCCGGCTCCTAACGCTTGTTTTCGGCAACATATTTCGGCACTGGTACTAAAAGATTAAGAAAAGCAAAGCGCTGAGACAACAAATGATGCAAAAGACCGCATTATAACTACACTATCATTGATTTCTGATTGTAAAATGGTTCTGTGTGCCTCCCTTATCCTGCCTAAGCTTGTGTAGCTTTTAGTCAGGTGCGACTTTGGCCCGTGCATTTTGTTTGAGATACAGGGCAAATGAATGAATAAATCAAATCTTGCTAAGGAGCCATATTATGGGATTCGATATGGCTCTCCAGCTCCCATCCTGTTGGCTTTTGGAGAAACTGGTTAGACTCCAGGTAGTTACGAATGTTAATAATTGCCATGTTCAACTTTGTGTTTTCCTGCTCTCCTAATGCACTTAAGAAGTTACGAGCCATAAGACGTAGTATCTTCTTGAACTGTACTCCATATCTCCTGTACATTGCAAATCCAGCCATCTGGTCATGGAAAATTTCTTAGGACCCAGAAAATTTTAGGCGAACTTAACAACAGATGTGTTAGGAAAGTTTTTGAATTAACTTACTTGAAGAAATGACTCGAGAGCAACAACTGTATAAAGATTCGGTGGGAGACCATTGAGGAACCTGGCAAGCCATGCCCAACCTTCTGCAAGGCCATGCAAGTTTTGGATACCCTCAAGTTCAGTCTGCAAAATATGCAATTTAATCAGTACTGTCAATATGCACTAATGGAATCGTAATATAGTGAGTACAAGATAGACAAACCTGGACTATAGCTGCATAAAGTTTCACACACAAACTCAAGCGTGAAACATATCTATCTGTACTTTCAATATCCCCATCTTCTTCTCTGTAACCAATGGCTTTGTAGTATGCTTCTTTAGTCTGAAATGCTGACTGTAAACAAAGAAATAGTTTAAAATCTGTTGGCCAACAGCAGCTAGCAGCTGCAACAGGAAAAGTCATGCTCTGAGAACAATGTACTAACCAAGAAACGAATTAAAAAAACAGAAAAGAACCAACAAAATTAACAATTTAATAAATCAGAACCTTCCCGATCTTCAAACTTGCTGGCTATTTTGCACCAGGAAAATTAAGTAGAAAAGACAGGCTATTTTACACCAGGAAAATCAAGTAGCGAAGAGAAAGAGACAGAGAGAGAGAGATTGCAATCATTCGCTCTAAAGGCACAATTTTCACAGAGAAAGTGGGGAACTTGGACATAATTAGGGTTTCTACAGAACCACCACAGATAATGAAAATATAGTAATATACGTATATACCTTTGAGTAAATGATGTGTTTGGGTACAGTATAAATGCAAGCTTGGTTCAACATAGAAATCAGTACATCCATGGCACGTGGCACCTGTGCTCAAAATTGAACAAACACTGAAAATTGTAAGAAATTCTTGTATACTTATTCTGGTTCATCTCTATTATTTTCTAACACATAATGGAGGTCAAATCTTATAATAAAAAGAAAAAAGTCTAGCAATTTCAGATATACTAGCTAATAAAATTTGAGACAGTTCAACATGGATGAGCCACCTCATGTGTGTGGCAGCAATACTTAGCCAGAATACATACATATTCTACTAGCCTCGATTCCAACAGAGAGAGAGAGAGAGAGAGAGAGAGAGAGAGAGTCAAGACTATGTTAGTGACTTTTTTCCTCCACTACCGAGATAGTTATATCAATTAAAATAGAACATAATCAAACACAAAGAATTGAGCTAAGATGCTTCATGATAATTACTTTCTCAGGAAAATAATGATTGTCCAATGCATTAGTAAGGAAGAGTCTACTCTCCATTGTTGCTAGGGACACTTCTGATGACAAAAGATCTCAAATCACTTGAAGTAGCCATGCAACAATAAGGAAGAACAAAGTACATTACCTTTGATGTGACGAGAACAATGACACGAGCATATGCATAAACAGATCTATGAAAGCTTCCAGTAGGATTTTCACACACAGAGACAAACTGCAAAATCAAAGACATGAAAATAGAAACTAATCTCATTTTCCTTAATTCCAAGCTTAACTTTGGAGGATGTGCACGTAGATAAAACATCACATCTCAGAAGAATATGATTGCAGCAAAAAACTACAGAAATTGTTCATCTTCTGGAACTAAAGAGATCACCTTCTTCGCAAACGCTGTGATGCTGATGGATTGGGGACAAGAAGGATCCTTAATAAGATAAAACAACTCCGAGGCTTTAGCACTGCAATAAGAAACAATAAAAGGAAATAAAAGATGCATCAAACTACTCTTTCATGCATAAATCCAGATTATACCAATCAGGATTCAAGAGGAAACATTCAAAAATCTGTGACAAAAGCTACCCTTTGAGAATCTAGGACTGCAGGAAACAGGAAGAATGCAATGCTTCAAGATTTTATGTAGCCAAAACTGTTAATTGGACCAAAGTAATAGACATCTGACCTCACATTCTCTTCTGACCCTGAGATCTGGCGGATAGTTCTTGCTATTTTCTGCTCATGTTTACGATAGTCCTGAAAACACAGAGAGACAGCTTGTTAGTGCCACAAAACAAGCAATCCAGTATATGAAATGATACCATGCGACACACTTCATGGCTTAGACCATTTGCAACATATTCCAGCAGCAAAATACAAATTAAACAGCTCTTTCTTAACAATGATTAAATTTTGTTTCCGACAAATCCACAGAAATGAATAATTAAAAAAAGCAAATGGTTGAAATCCTGATTGGCATTCTCCCTGAGGTTGGTGTGGCTAAAAGAGAGATGTGGCCAGGCTTCATTTCTACTCACAATTTATGAAGGAAGAAACATGTATCATAGAAATACATCTAAATAAGAGTTAAAACTGCATTAGGTCTTTCTGTTCCTACCATCTTAGGATTCATTTGCATTTCAGCAGCTACTTCATTATAAATCTGCAATCTCCTTTCTTCCAATTTTAAAGCATTTTCTGCACTTCTGATTACGGTGCCTGGAACCATACCAGCAAGGTAAAACTCAAATCAACATTCATTCTACTTGCAATACAAGTAGAAGAAAGAAAATATCCTAATAGTTCTGATACTGAATGTGTAAAACTAGCAGTAAGTAATTATTCTAGACGCTTTTGTGACCAAGTCGGAAAATACAAGTGACTGAACAGTACAAAAGTGGAACCAAGACTCAGTGAACATCAAAAAATGGACATATCCTAAAGCAACAAACCAGCTTACTCTGTGCATACATTAAAGCCCCAGAAAACAGAAGTCAAAGACATAATGTGTACAGAGCTAACATTGACTTTGATTTTGAGCTGACAATTAATAAGAAAAATTCAAACTTTAAGTTCTTAGCCTAGAGTATCAGTTTCTTAGAGAAAAAAAAGAAAGTGGCAAAAGGAAAAGGCAAAGGAACCAAAGAATCCATTGCCTACCCTAGGCAGTGTGCAGTGCAACAAAACTTTAGAAGGGTATCTACAAGAGAGCACAAATACCTTGTGGCTGTGCACTTTTTGTGACATGAAGTACAGAACCCTGGGATCCATTAGCTTCAGTAGCATTGATAGAAACCCCAGCTGCAGAACTTTTTGTATCGGCAGATTTCTTCTTCTGTGCTGCTTCTTCTGCTGCTCTTTTTTCAGCTTCCAACGCTGCTGTTTTTGCTGCTTCAACTCTCTCAGCTTCTAGTCTAGCCTGCATCTGGTAAGTGACAATTTACCAGTTATACAAGCTAAGATTTATCAGATACTTTTTATGAAGTCCTAATGAAGGATTTACATAGAGAAAGTTTAATACCTCCGAACAAATTGGCAATATGTGCAAGACTAAAGGGTAAACAATAAGGAATAGTGGAGGCAAAATGGGCAAAAGGGAAACCCAAAAATAGAGTGCCAAATGTAGAAAGCAAACAAACAGCTACTCCGCCTTCCTACTTTAATAATCAGCTCTACTTATTCTTTACAAGCCATAAAAACCATTCCAATGCCACACACCTTCTCTTGCAACCCTCTTCCCAACTTATTTAGAGAAACCAAAACCATCAGTACGAAGAAAATTACCATTCACTGAATAAAAGTTTAATACTCAAACTTCAGATTCAAAAATAGGTAAATGCTGGGAACTGGAGGAAGACATCAAGCTAAATTTCTTTTTCAAGCAGCAACCAATTGCAAGCATAACATAGTATCAGCAAGTAAAATGCGATTAAATTCAATCATTAAGACAAACGTTAAGGCAAACCTCAGCTTCAGCTTTAATCTTTTCCTGCCGCACTTTTTCTTCATGAAGAGCTCTTTCCCTTCTTTGGGCTTCTTCACGAACTGCATCATCTCTTATTCTCCTTTCTTCTATTTGAGACTTGTGTTCATGATCCCTCTGTACAGCTGTCAGGTGATTATCCAATGCTTCTGCGCTACAGCACAAAATTCAAATGTCAAGAGACCGTCTCTCTATACCAAAACATGATTTTCAATTAACATTCTTTAACAATATAATGGGCATTGGCAAAAACCAAGAAAGTAGCAAATAAATCATATGACTTCTCTCACAAATCATGTAATCACCATGATCAGAAATTCAGAATACAAGCAAATCACATGAACGTTTTAGAAAGTTTCTGAAATAAAATTAACTAAGCATCATCATTAAACTTTTATATGCTGCAAATTAAACCACTTTTAATAACTCCCTGGAAGCTACAATCAAATAACTTACATTCTGCGTTGGTACTGCATATCGAATTTTCTGTCCAATTCCTGCCTTGTTTTTGTGTAATTCTCCACACGAGCAACTGTAGAGGCAAACTTCTCATTTTCATCAATGAGGCAAGTTTCCAATTCTGTTATTTGGTTTCTAACTACTTCCTGTTAATCAGAACAACAATGTTATATGACTCATTATAACGGCTAATAAAAAGATGGGAAGAACTTAACTCAGATAGTAGACACTTCTATTTGAAGAGTCGAGGAAGGATATGAGGCAACGACATAGTACATTTGAAGCCTAAAAGTGGATTGTGCTAAACAGTTACTTGAGAAAAGGTGATACTTTCCCCTTTTAAAAAGTTTGACAAGAGTTCAAGCTTCAATGACAATGCCAGAAACCAAAATTGCTCTACATTAAACATTCAAAGAGAATATTATAACACCACATGATTCACAGAGCATCAAAAGTATCTCATGTAACAAGTAGAAAAAGCAATCAAATGAGAAGAGAAAATTGTGCTACCATGGGTAAAAGGGGAAATTGAAATTATCAACACTAGTATCATAGCAGCATTTGTTCCAAATCAACTTTCACATTCCTTTAAAAATTAAAGAACAGCTGGTAATGTGTGATGTTCATGCTTCCTACACAGTCAAATAACTAAACAACAAAAAAGTTGTTAACTTGCAAAATAATATACCATTACTCCAAGTTGGTGTTCATTAGTTAGCTCAGAAAGTGTGCCTTCAGCAAAACCAACATGAGGCATCAAATTTCCTTGCATTCCAAAAACGGATTCATCCTCAGAATCTTCACCGTCACTGCAGTAACAACACGCCTATAAGGAGGGTGAGGAGCCTCAACAATTGTCAGCCACATGTTACTGTGCAACGTACAAACTAGCATAAGAAATTTATATCAACACAACAGTGTAAAAACAACAACTTCTCACATAATTTTGGAAGTTGCATATCAAAAGTTGTTTTTATCTGGTTGTTTAAGTTCATGCACTTTCTGTGTTAGTATCTACATTTCTAGTACTAAAGAGTACATTGCAGAGCAGAATTTTGACTGTCATTTGTGGAGGCATTTGATGATCCCCTATAAACATAACAATTTGAGAACTCAAGACAATCAAATTGAGCAATGGTAAGGAAAATTATATTGAACCTTCAAGTGGTGATAAAAGTTCAAGGAGACAGGAAGATGGTAAAGACCTGAATACTGCTCTATGGAAGACCAAGTATGTTATGGTAAAGTAGTGGTTGACCAGCTGATTACTAGACTGAAGATTGAGTTGAAGAATAGGAAGTGATTGGTGAAGGTTGAGAGTCAAAACTAAGTATACAAAACAATAGGACCTGTTCTATTTCGTCGCCTTAGACAAATGGAACTAGTTTCGTCACTTAACATTAGGTAACTTGGCCCAACCAAACTCCCTCTTTACACTTTTTTTTGGTCAGAAAATTTTACCACATAATTTTCAGAGAAAATAATCATAATACATAAGCGCACCTTATAGAGAGTTCATCACAACCAAATCTCCTGCCTGCAACCATGGCTCGATGGTTATGATGACCCTCCTCAACATTATCCGTTTCAACACCGAATTCATCATCCAGCACTTGCATCACAAATGGCCCTGGACTTTCATTCTTAGCCTTCCACTTTAAAACTCTGGACGAAATAACAAGGTGCTAATGATTTTAAGCACACAAAGACTCTAAATGTAAATATCTCTGTATACAATCACAACACACACAGACATGCTAAATTGTAATGGTCATGCAGCTTATAAGGTAAGTAAGGCGAAAAGCGTACGGAGCATCAGTCTTGCTAGGAGGAGAAGAAATTTGCAAAGAGACTTTGAGCCTCTTTTCGAGTGAGTTGAGGTCGAAAAGAATAGCATCAAAACTCCAATCAGGCTGTGGATCCGCTGCAATTCCATCTGCATTTTTCCGATACCGGACTTCTAAAGTAAAGTCTTTCCTGTTCCAAACAGAACCATAAAAGATCAGTGCAATCTGATTCGTTTCCCCAAAACTCTAGGAAAAAGAAAAAGATTTTAAAAAAAAATTAATATTGAGTTGAACACCAAACCAAAAAAAAAAAACCCCTTACATTGTCTCAGTCGAGGCCAAAGCTGGGAAGAGAAGTGCACCGTTACGAAATGCTGCCTCCTAATTCTCAGAGGTGGATAACTTCTACTAGATGCTTGGATTTCGTATCTACGCAAAGATTTAGTTTTTCTTTGTCTTTTCAGTTCAATTGCAAAAAGGAAATGGCAAACCCTAGCTCAAAATTCGGGACAAAAAAAGAATTTTGGGAACGGGGAAACTCAAGATATGCTGACCTGCATCCAATTGGAAAGAACGGATTGCCGGGCGACGGCAAGGGCAGCGGCACGGAGCTGATGAACTCAGGGGGCGGGGAATTGGGAACGTATTTTGATGTGAATTTGACAGCAGCCCTCTCTTTTGCAGCGAAACGGAGAAGCACTTGCAGCTGACTGGTCTGATTATGGCTGGAGACGTGGATTTTATGTACAACTACGTAATAAATTCCTCCTACCGCTTTTAGGTTGGGGTTTTGAAGGCGTGTCATTGAATGGGCGTACAGGATTCTCTGGTTCTAGCCTCTAGGTGTCGCGCCTTTTGGCGCCCGATGCCCAAGACCCCAATCTTTTCTGTCTTTTTTTCAAATTAATCTTTTATATAGTAATAGTAAATAAAGTTTCACTGTTAAATGCATGACATATAATTTAAATTTAAATATAAAATTTAAATTTTATATACATGTCGTACCTCCGGCCGTGATGGTGTACACCATCAATATATATAAGGTTTTCTAAAATTTATTACAATACAAGCCTTCGAACCTCTTATAATTTTTTATTATCCTGAAAATTTGATATTTTTTGTTTGGAGTAAGAATTATATATAATTTTCAGGGGAGAGTAAAATCAACAGCTTAATAGCGATACCCTATTAACCGTAAATATTTTTTAATTCCACCACTTTTAAAAACTTTTCACCACTCATTTTTTTTAAATACATTTATGAAATTACCTTTCATCTGTTAATGAATTTAGCTCTTACTTCTCAAGAAACATATAATGCAAGTTATTTTTAAAGATGTTACCTCATTATTATATACCTAAACTAGGGGAAATGCGCGGGTATTTGACACATGTGGTTAAAGAGGAATTTTTAGGTGCATATGGTTAGCAAATAAATGAAGATAAAAATAAGATAACAGTGCATATTAAGTAAAATTAAGGAAATATAGCTTTTGCTAAAAATTATTATGAAATGCTGAGTGTAAAAGCTGAAAAAATAACGCAGTCCCGGAAGCCAAAAGGAGAAAACCAAAGATGTGAAGGAGGAAGAATTGAAAGAGCCATAACTAATGCTCAGACAATAACTTAATAGTATACCCACATTATTGGCCGTTTAATTAGGATGTAAATAGTGTTTTATTGTTGATAGAGAAGCTATTTTAAAGGTTGAGATTCAGACAAGGAAAGCAAGGGTTGATACAACGTGGCTCTATTTTAATTACATAATAATCCCATTTCAATAATTGCACAAAAACACATGCTTATATGAATTGGGGCAAATGCATAAATGATTGCCAAATAAGCCCATATTTCACAAATATCCAAATGTGTCTATAAATACAAACTTTAAATGTACAAACATGGGGGTTTTAATCTAAAAACACCCAAACATATGCTGCAATTAGTTGTATCAAAAACTTGAAAAAAAGCAACACATTTTTTAAATTCCCAAAATGGCCCTACCCATGCGGTTGAAATTCAACTCCCTCCTCTTCGACAAAAACTCAATCTTATATGATATAAGGATTCCAAAACATTGTTGCAATTAATTTAATATCATGGTACATACACTATTCCTACAATATCAGGTAGGTAGATTCCAAATTAAGCAAGAGTTGATTCCAAAGTGTAAAAACCAACCTTCCTCAAAGACATTAATGTTGATTTGTTTACCGTTCAACTCTCCTATATATAATTTTTTTGCCAAGTTCAAAGACTTTTGTAAGTTATAACTCAACCCTTAATCTACAGGAAATCACAAAAGTCGGTAACTTTTGAGGTTCCTGAGGAGACTTAAATACTAATCCCAAACCCCTCCAACACTCGATGTGGAACTCTCCTATATATAATTGCCCTTTGTATAATTAGCTTCTTTGAGATATTCAATTAGAAAAGGAAATGGTCCTGTATATAATAATTACTGGTACTATTTTATCGTAGGAGATGATTCAGGGCTGTTAAAGAGTAGTTTTTCCGTCTTTAAAGAAACCATGAAAGCAAGAGCACTTGCATGGAGTGGCTGGAAAGAAACCACTTGCCCATTATCAGGGAGGGGCTTAAATCCCTCATTAGACTGTAGGAACATTTTCTGATCTAGTTAGATATGTATATCTACTAGTCTCCTATCACAACCTCCTTAGACTCCTCCTTCTTTCTCGACTAGATTAGAATAGAGTAGGTTACACAGATGTATCGTTGTAAACATATAAAAAAAAAAAAAAGGATTGGCTTGTAAAAATTCCAAATCTAAAAACTTGTCCCGAAAGCATTAACAAATTATTTTGTGTTTATTAATTTTCTGGACCTCACCTTTACCGGCTATGGCGGCTAGCCATGCGTGACCTTCGACGCCTCTCCATTTCTTAATGCTTAAAGACTCTGCCAATTCCAACACCCATTCCTAGACACAAAACAGTGCGAGGAATTTATTGAAGTTCTGGCCTGCCATAATTAGCATTAAATGGATAAGAACGCTGCATGAAGGCTTATTTCCCGGCATAATGATTTCTAGTTTTTACTACTTGGTCGGGAAAAAGTACTTTAACGTCCAGACAAATTCTATTTTATCTTGACAAGCGACCATAAGCATTTCGGTATAGATCCTTCTTACACTAAATCTTTTACATGTAGAGGTAAGCATTTAATTATAGGGTTTTTTTTAGAGGATGTCGAGGTCATCCGTTGCCACACCTAAATAACATATAATCATGCAAATGTATATATGAACAATTATTATTCTCTATTATATTTATATTTTTTAATTAATTTTACTTTAAAAAAAAAAAATAACATATAGATTACATTTTAACGAGCTGGCACTTGTTAAATGAATTCTTAATAAAATTACATCCAAAATTCACTTAACTTAAACCCCAAAAGATCTAACAGCCATTTCAAATCAAGATACTACTCATGATGGTGTGATTAAAAAAATTAATTAAATCAATTACAAAAGTTTTTTTACTGTGTCTTATATAATGCACAAGTTTATTGTTCACACTGCTCTTTGAAGTGACAAGAATGTATCTCGGACTCCTTTATTAAATGATCGATCTTTAAACTTTTAGCACATGGTAGAGAAAAAGTTTCAAAACTATGCAGTTGTAGTTTTCCAAACACTTTTAACAGGCCAGATTTACTTGACGATGAATAATTTGAAAATAAGTAATAGTGTGTTTGGATTGCATTTTTCATGGATTTTTCGTTGAAAAATTATTGTAACGATTTGATGCATGTGAGGTAAAAAGGTGATAGGGAAATGTGTTCACGAAAAATAAGACCATTTTTCGATGGAAAATGGCTATCCAAACAATCCGTAATCCACTTTCTGCGAATCAAACGCACCCTAAAAGTATTAATTCGTGCTTGCTCACAACATTAAATGATTAAAATCATATATATATATATATATATATATATATATATATATATATATATAGGAATATTATTTGTCCTTTTTTATTCTCTATTCCTTTTTGTAATCTAGCTAATTGAGACTTAAAAGGCTGGAGTCTTTGACCTTTGGAGATAGAAGAGCCAACGCCAAGTTTGCCTTATTCTAAACTCCACGTTAAACTGCTGTTCTCACAGATTTTACTTCCACGAAACAGAAACGTGAACAAAGAAGAAACATAAATCGCAATCATCATATATAGAAACAAATCTAATAAGTATTCAATCTCCACATCGCTTCTTGACCAAACCATCTTTGTAACTTGCCCTTGTTGTTTCTGGACCATAGCATATAAAGCACAGATCTCATTCTATTCCTTTTCATGTATGCTTTGCCATAATAAACCAACCAAGTCCTGAAAAGGATGAAAACCATGAAAGGGTTCAGTTTTTGGCAACATGCTCTTTCTTTCACCTTTTTAGTTTTTCTTTTCTTCCCCAGTCTGGGTATCTTTTCGCAGAAAGCGGTGATGGGGCAACCGCTTTACACCAATTCCCGGTGGATTGTTAACGGATCAGGGCAACGAGTCAAACTGGCTTGTGTGAACTGGGTAACACACCTTGAAGTTGTTGTGGCTGAAGGCCTGAGCAAGCAGCCGGTGGATGTAATTTCCAGGAGTATTGTAGATATGGGATTCAACTGTGTCAGGCTAACTTGGCCACTTTTCCTGTTCACCAATGATACCTTGGCTTCCCTCTCCGTCAGGCAGTCTTTTCAGAAGCTTGGACTGACCGAGTCCATTGCTGGATTTCAAGCCAACAACCCCTCCATAATTGATCTTAGCCTCATCAATGCTTATCAGGTATATAAATGATTTAAAAATTCTTAGTTTGACTGAGGAGTGAGGACTTCATATGTCCAACTATCAAAAACGAAGGCCGGAGTTAAGGGTGCAGGTTTTACTAATGAAGTTTGTAATTCTGCATGAGTTGTATACTGGTTTGTTTGGATTGCTGTTTATTTGTCAAAATATATTTGCTTACATCATCATTATAATTTTTAACACACCTTTTTATCTCACATACATCACATCATAAAAAGTGCTACGGTAAAAATATCTCTAATGATTCACAATTCAAACAAAAGAATTTGGGAGATGAAGATATCAATATTACAGGTCCTATTAGCTTATGGAGACTGAAGGCACTAGTGTCGGTTAGAAAAGTTGGAAAGAAATATTTGCCACACAAATCCGCAGTGACGTGTGTATGCTAAATAGTAGGAGTACAAGATAATATAAAGCTGGTATGAACAAAAATTGCTAGATTAATTTCAGATGCTAATTAAGCGACCTAAATTAATTTCAGATGTATCTAAGTATATACGATGATCTCATCCAATTTGTAGCGTAGGTAATGAATATGTTATAGTGACACAACAGCATTCAAGTCAAATTGTTAGCTACAATTTATTTGCACCATCCAAAACCTTATCTGCAAGACTTTTCCTTTCTGATAAGCGCACACACGCATACGTACCGTTGTATTGACTTCAAAAACAACAGTTGAGAGTGACTTGGATGACAATGAAACAGGAGTTATCATCTGTTGTCGGCTTTTTTCTTAGTGGCATGGTATCGTATAATGATAATTAATAATCGAACTTTACTTTACACATGATGCCACAACATGTACCAACTATCATATATACATACATATATATATATATATATATATATATATATATCTGCGACTTAATTATAAAAAACGACCCACGTCTTTGATTTGCAGAGGAAAGAATAAAATCAAAAT